TGTTCCTTTAGGTGTAGTCACTGTAGTGCACCTTTCACCAAAACACCCAATAGTCTTCCACCATAGTCCATTGTGCTCTGTCCTCACCCTGTTCTCACCCTTTCTTTCTCCCTTCTCCTCTGGATGCCTCAGATCTATGGTCAGCATTTAGAGTTGATTTTAACGTTTTTCTTTGTTTCATTTCACTATACTCCACATATAAGTGACACCATTCGGTATTTATCTTTCTCCTCTGGCTTGCTTCATTTAGCATAATCCCTTCCAACTTCATTCATGTTGCTGCAAATGGCATAAGTTTATCTTTTTCAATTACTGAGTAGTATTCCATTAATGTATATATGCCACATCTTCTTGATCCGCTTGTCTCTTTTGGGGCATTTATGTTGTTTCTATATCTTGGCTATTGTAAATAGTGGTATAATAAACATAGGGATGCAGTTTTCCTTATAAATTAGTGTTTTTGTGTTCTTTGGGCAAATGCCTTGGAGTGGAATTGAGGTATCATATGGCACATCCATATGATATACTGCCTTACATAAGAGAGTTCCTTTATGTGCATGTCCTCAGCAGCACTTATTTCTAATCTTTTTAGTGTGGGCGGTGCTTATAGGTGTAAAGTTGTATTTTACTGTGGTTTTGATCACATTTCTTTGATGATAAGTGATGATGAACATTTTTTCATGTGAGTGGGCCATCTATGTGTCTTCCTTGGAAGAGCCCATTCAGCTCTTATGCCCATTTTTTGACTGTGTTATTTATTTGTGTTGAGTTGTTTGAACTCTTTGCAGTGTCCTTAGAGGTCTGGTAAGCCCATGAGGTGTAGATTCTTATTTAGGACTCCAGTGTCCTTGTTTATATTTGTATGGTTGATCTATCTATTGGTGAGAGTGGGATGGTGAAGTCTCCTATTACATATATATTTTTTTCATGTTTGTTTTCAGAGATGATAATAATAGTCTGATATATTTTGGTGCTCCTTCATTTGGTGAGTATATGTTGAGGAGTGTTATGTCTTCCTGATGTATTGTCCCCTTAATCATAATGTAGTGACTATGTCTCTTTTTACCTTTTTTAGTTTGAAGTTCATTTTATCTGATAAATAAGTATAATTCTTCCCTTCCTTTTTGGTCCATTTGCTTGTAGGATTGTTTTCCAACCTTTTACTTTCAGTTTGTGTTTATCTTTTGTAGTTAATTGTGTTTCCTGGAGATAGCAGAAGGATGGATTTTGTTTTTTGATCCAGCCTGCTACTCTGTTTTTTCATTGGTGAGTTTAGTCCATTTACATTTAGAGTTAATATTGATATACTGGCATTCATATTTGTCATTTTGTTTGCCTTTTTGTGATTCTGTTCCTTATTTTATTCTATTCTTCCTATTCATTCTTCTGTAGGTTTTGGATCTAGGGTTTCTTGTAATATTTTTTGGAATGGGGGTTTGTAGTAATGAATTTCTGGAAATTTTGTTTGTCTGAAAAGGTTTTTATTTTTCCTTCAGAGAGAAAGGAGAGCTTTGCATTTAGGGTATTCTTGGTAGGCATTTGTTGACTTGGAATTTTTTTTTTTTTTTTTTTTTAAACATTTACTTTTTTTTTTTTTTTTTTAATTTTCATTTATTTATTTATTTATACAAGCACTGGGTACAGTCGGAAGCGCGGGAGGGTGAGAGAATTCACCAGAGCCAGAGTGGGGAGCAGAGCAGGCAGAAGGACCGAAGCACACTGCTGAGGGGAGCAGCGGGCGGCAGGAGAGGTCTGCGCGCCATGTGGGACCCTCCTCTGGTGGCCGGGGAGCAGCCGGGGATCGAACCGCCGCTGCAGAGGCTGCGGGCAGCTTCGCAACCCAGCGCTCAACCGCTGCGCCACCGGGGAGGCCCCGACTTGGAATTTTTTTAAATATGTCCCTCCATTCTTTTCTTGCCATAGTGTTTCTTCAGATAAATCTGATGTCAGCCTAATTGGTTTTCCTTTGTAGGTTATCTGTTTCTTTGCCCTCATCAGTTTCATTATTTTTTTCCTTGTCTTGGACCTTTGGAAACTTTACTATTATGAGTCTTGCTGTAGTTTTCTTTTCATTATGGTAATCTGGTATTCTTCTAGCTTCCCCTAAGTTTATTTTCATTTCCTTCATGTTTGGGAAGTTCTATTTAATTATCTCTTTGAGGGAAGTTGCGAGGACCTAAGGGTGAAGTTAAGCAGCCATTTTCTCTGTTTGTAAATAAAAAACCAGCCATGTTAGTGGGGTCCAGCACTCTTGGCTTGTGCTCTTGGCCAGGCAAGTTTGGTCTCGGTGGGTCATTTGGGATTCCAGGATGGCAGAACGGGTAGGACACATTTAAGAATTTATCTCCCTCTTTGCTCCCTGAGTTGGACATTTCCTCATTCCCCTTCTCTTGTAAATAAACCTTTTGTTAACCTTTAAAAAAATAAAAATAAAAATTGTTCAACCCCCCAAAAAAATATTTATCTCTTTGGAATAGTTTTTGTCTCTTTCTTTACCTTCTGGGATTCCTATAACTCTTATATTTCCTTTCCTCGTGGTGTCAGATAGTTCTCGAAGTGTTTTTCATTTGTTTTCCTTTGTACTTCCCTTTCCCTTTCTTTTTTGGTTCTTTTTATGTCTGTATCTTTGAGAGTACTGATTCTTACATATCTTCTATTTTCATGGCTTTTCCCAGAATTCTTGATATCACGCTCCCCCTGCTATCTTTCCTGCTGGTAAGCACGACCAGTTAAATGGTCCTCCTGGTCTCCAGCAGTGGGGAGGAGAGGTAAGTGCCTCAACGAAGGGGATCGCACCTCATGCTATGCATGCACTGCACTGAGGCCTATTTGCCCACCTGTCCTTGTCTGGACCTCTCAGATATCTCAGGATTCTCCTCTGTGGTTTCCAAGCTTTTTTTCCTTTCTTCTGATCAACGTGGGCTGGCTTTGTGGGTATGAGAGGGGAGAATGGTTCTGATGATTTTCTCTCTTCTCATCCCCTCTCATTCCAACTTTACTCTTTGGGCAAATTGCCGGTGCCCCAAGGAGGTGTTAGCCTGGTTTGTCTAACATGTCTGGGTCCTCCCAGGAACTCACCGTTTTTTCTCCCTATCAGTTGTTTTTATGGGAGAACTTTATTCACCATGTTGATGACATCACTCTGGTTTATTATTTTAGTTAGTTTTTCTGTAAAGTTTTTAGGGTTCTCCATGTATATTATCATGTCATCTGCAAATTGTGATAGTTTTACTTATTTCCCTATTTGGATTCCTTGTATATCTTTCTCTTGTGTTATTGCTTTGGCTCAAACTTCCAGTATTAAGTTGAAAAGCCGTGGTGAACATGGACAACCTTCTCTTATTCCAGATATTAAAGGGAAGCCTTTCAGTTGTTCACCATTGAGAATTATGTTGGCTATGGGTTTGTTATATAAAACTTTTATTATATTAAGGTGTTCTGAAGGAAGGGATTTTAAATGGGATAGTTTGGAGAAAAGTTCTGAAAGAAGGATTATACAGTAAAATGGAAGTATAAAAAGAACAAAAGTTCAGAGGGATAAGAGAAAGATACTGAATCCATGAAATAAGAATGTCTGTTGAAAAAGAAAATCAGAGAAGAATAAAACTCTTGGTTGACCATTCCATTTCATTTTACATGTCCCTGAGAAAATGAAAAATGTAGTGGCTTTATAAATTGAGACACTCTTAAAAGAATAGAGTAAAAGGATAAAGTGGGAAATAGGTATGAAAAGTAAGGAAACTTTGAAATTATTTACTAGTTCAGTACCTGTACTTCCATCCTGGAGGTAAGACATGTCCAAGCAGATGTGAAGTGGCCCTCACAGATGACATAACTTAACCAAATATCCCAGAATTGAAGGCCCTGAGTTTCCAGGTAGAAAAGGATTATTGAGTAAACAGCACAGTAGATGAAAAAAGCTCCACATGAACCTTATTTTTTGACAATTTAGTACTGGAGGTTCACCAGGTTACACTTAAAAGGACCAAGAAATTGGATGACATTTGTCTTTACAACAGCATTGTGGACATTGGAAAACTGGGAGTCACATTTCCTTTACAAGTCAATGAGGAGATTTCCAACCTGGAGCTATGAATTCAACCATATTATCAATTATGTGTGGGAATAGAATTATGTTTGAGGGTAGAACCTAGATATGTCAGATGTGCCAAGTCTCAAATGAATTCATCTCCTGTGGGTCGCTTGTTTGAAAGCTTCTGGACTCAGCATGTTAGTGAAATAAATCAACCAGGAAGGAGTAAAATGTTGTGTCTTGGAAGTCAGCCCCAACACAGAAGTGGATCCTAATCCGGGAGGTGCAGAAATGAGACCCAAAAAGAACAGAGTAGGAGCTATGTCACCACAAAGATGGAGCTGATAGATTTACTCATATCTTTAGATATCTTGAAGTGATGTAATTAATTTGGGAGATTGATGATGATTAATCATAAACACATTGAAAAAAGCAGACCTATATTAACTTAATAGGTAACAAAATGTTGAACAAAAAAGGAAAAGTATGGGAAGAATATTTTGGATCACTTCTGAAAAAAGTTTACATTGCAATAATGAAAGAATATTGTATGTTTATTTAACCAAATTTAGATTATCACTATTGGAAAAGTGGTAATTCAGGAAATGTGTGTGTATATATGGGATCTTTGTGTGCTTCTCTCTGTGTGTGCAAATGTGTATGTTCACATGTTTTTACAGTGGTGACAGAGAAAACTCTTCCCATTAGAATGTCCACAACTAAGAAAATAAGAAATAGTAGATTGAGTATGATGACATGACACCACGTTATGCATCTTATAGGAAAATCTTCATATTAAAGTACTCATATTTGCTCTTTCTCAAATTTGAGGAATTGTAAACAGCTATTAGAGAAGTAATAGCATCTTTGTTTTTCAAGAATAACTTTGAATTGAAATTAAATTTTGTTGGTTTTCTATCAGTCTTGATGTGAAAATTGATCTTTAATAACTACATATTTGTTTCAGGTGAGCACTGTTTTGAATGGCCTGTTAGATCAGAGCTTCAGGGAACGAGGCAGTCAGAAACACCAAGGACTGAAAATTGTAACGGCAATTCTACAAAACTGGAGAAAGTGTGATTCTTGGTGGGCCAAAGGTTCTACTCCTGAATGTAAAACAGCAGTGGTGACCTTACTGGCAAAAATCTTGCAGGTATTTTGAGTGACTTTAAAAATGCAGTCATGATGGTTGTTTTACACTTTGTAAATTGTGTCTTTAGAAATTTGGTGGTGATTTCCTCAAAAGCCATTAGTTTAATAAGTAAGAGTTCTTTTGATTAGATAACTGCTGATATCTTTGTATCTTCTACTGTTCCCCTTTTTCCTTACTTTATATCATTATCTTTTTAGTATGCTTTTACATGCATTATTTTACCAGACTGTTTTATAGTATCTCAGAAGAAGTATTGTTGAAATATTGTTGAAACCCACGAAGATTCTTTTAGTTTATTTCTGAAATTTAAAAATTTGTAAAATGTGTTAAAGGAAATTAGACAACTGATATAGAAAGAAATATATCATGTTTTTATTTCTCCTCCTTTAGATTGATTCATCTGTATCTTTTAATACAAATCATAGCACATTCCCTGAAGTGTTTGCAACATTTGTTAGTCTACTTGCTGATTCAGACTTGGGTCTACATTTAAAGGTAAGTGATTAAAGAAGGTTTTTTTTTTTTTTTTCAGATTATAATTTCCATTATTTTCATGGTTTATATTTTTTTGGCATATTTGTGATGTATTTCTTTCTACTATGGAAAATTTCAAACATATTCAAAAGCAGAAAGAATAACACAAATAAATTCCTATGTACCTGCCACCCAGCATCAAAAGCCATAGTTTATGAACATGTTTATTTCAACTATGTGGTCACTCCCACTCATCACCTTGACAGATACCTCAGGTATCATGTTATCTGATCTGCACATACTTCAGTATATTGGTCCAAAGGATAAATATGACAATGAAATTACAATACTTAAGAAGAATTGATAGTTATGTTTGTGTATGCATGATTTAAGTTGGGTTTTTGAGAATTGCTGTATTCATGAATGATGTAATTTTGACTAGTATTCATTATTTTGTTAATGCTATAAAATACCTTTTTCATTTTTATGGTCAAGAACTTAATGAATATTATAAATATGTAAATAGGTAGAATCTATAATAATTAAATTTCACACTCTACTAAATGTGGTCTTAATGAAAACTACCTTTTTACTTGATAATGAGGATATTTCTTTGGAATTTTCTCCTCTATGTGATTAATCAAATTTCTCAGTTTCTCACTGTGAGGGAGTCTGGGAACTTACTTTCCAGACTACAGAGGTAGGAAATAATGCCGACTTCCTTTCAAGCTCACTATGAAGTTATGGGTTAGTTCTGTAAGGGATATTTGTAAATTACTCTGCTAGTTATTCAAGTTGTTCTTTCTACACAAAACTTATCTGATATATTTCTACTAGAGTCTTTATTTGTAGAAGGAAAAAGTACAAACAGAATCATTATACAGTGTTTCATTTCTTTACATGTATGTAGCCCTGAATTGGGCCACTGACCTCTACAGTAGAAGCTGAGGTACAGCATTCATTCATATTTAGAAATTAGTGATTCTGTTTAATCTTTCGCTCTTCTAAAATCCACTACTAGTTTTATTCCATATGTCTGCATTGCTTTGTAGGGGCAGGCTGTAATTCTTCTTCCATTCTTCACTAATCTCACTGGAGACAGCTTGGAGGAGCTTAGGCATGTTCTTGAGAAGCTCATCATTTCTAATTTCCCCATGAAGTCTGAGGAATTTCCCCCTGGAACTCTGCGGTACAATAATTATGTGGACTGTATGAAAAAGGTTAGTTTTTAGTAGTACCAAATAAAATTAAAACTATGTCTCCATTATAACTTTTGATTAAAAGGGGTAAACTATTCAGAGTGAGGTAAACGTTCTAACTTAAGAATTCCATTTAATTCATTTTGATACCTGGGTATGTATGGAGGCATATGCACATCTAAATCCTTTGGAATTCATTTTTCCCCTATTCTTAAATTGCGATATATTTAGTACACATATAAATTTTAAATAATACCCCCCAAAATTAAGAAATGAAATATTATAATATGGTATATGGTTTCTAAAATATATTTGAGTAATGGTTGAGAAACATTTAATCATTACCACTACCAGTTTTATTTAATATGCCATTGAAGGACCCGAAAATAAGAGTGACATAAACGAGGTGGTACATCTCTCCTGTACAATTCTAGATTGCTGAACCATGTAGCTCTGCAGTCAACAGGGAGCCAGTACCTTGTTACCTTTTTGCCATCTTCCTAAAATAACTTCTTTAATGTCCTGTATGACTGCTGCAGCTACTGTAGTTGTATTCCCTTCCAGCCAGCAAGAGGGACAGAACGGCAGTAGGGAAACTCCCTGTGAGGACCTAATCCCAAAACTTAGACTTACCAGTTTTGCTCCTCTCCCATTTTTTCCACATACATATAGAACCAACACTATGAATGTTCTTATTTTGGACAACCATATTCTTAGCTAAAACTCAGGGATTCAGCCACACACACAAAAAAATAATAAAAGCATGACCATTGGAGGGTGGGTAGTGGTCTGTCCCTCTTGATGGTGTGAACACTCAAAAACAATGCAGATGAAGGGACTCCCTGGTAGTGCAGCGGGTTGAGCACCGCACTGTGGAGCTGTCCACAGCCTCCGCAGCAGCCTCCACAGCGCCGGTTCAATTCCCGGCTGGCCAGGGAGAGTCCCAGATGGCGCGGCATACCTCTCCTGTCTTGCCCGCTGCTCCCCTCAGCAGTGTATTTCGCTTCTTCTGGCTGTTCTGCTCCCCGCTCTGTCTCTGGTGAATCCTCTCACCCTCCTGCAACTCTGGCCTGTACCCCAGCTCTTGTATAAATAAAAAATAAATCTTTAAAAAAAAATAATGCAATGTTAAAAAAGATGATTAAAGCATTGTAATAAATGTTAGGGTATAGGTGTGGCAGATTATATTTCCCCAAAATGACTGTACCATTATTTCTCCTCCCACATAGTCTTCTGACAGTATGACATTTCCCTTAGAAGAAAGTCTCATTTTCCTCCTGTTGGGTATGGGTTGGCCTAAAAGAAAAATAAGGACAGCTTCACAGCGCGGCGCTTAACCACCTGTGCCACCAGGGGAGGCCCGAGGCTCTATTTTTAGCATTTTGAGGAACCTCCACACAGCTTTCCATAGTGGTTACACCAGTTTGCACTCCCACCAGCAATGTAGGAGAATTCGTTTTCCTCCACATCCTCGCCAATAATTGTTGTTGCTAGTTTTTTAAATTTATTTTTAATTAATTTTTTGAAATTTTTATACCATTGTTCAATTTTAAACAATATTTGCTACCCCAACCCCCTCAGGTGTAGTCCCCATAGAATTTCCTTCACCAATGCTCCCATGCACCATCACCTCAGTCCCCTGTACTCCTCCCTACTTCCCTCTGATCCCTCTCTCTTCTCCTCCCCCGCAGAATGGCTCTGATTTATAATTGTCTATTTTTGCTTTGTTGTGTTTTGTACTGTTATTATTTTTTTTGCACTGATGTCTTATTTGGTTCCCCTATATTCCTGCTATAAGTGAAACCATCTCATATTTTTCTTTTTCCTTCTGACTTATTTCACTGAGCATAAGTCCTTCTAGCTCCATCCATGTTGCTGCGAATGGCATGACTTTATCTTTTTTGATTGCTGAATAATATTCCATTGTGTATATATACCACGTCTTCTTGATCCAGTCATCTATTTTTGGGCATTTGGGTTGTTTCCAGATTTTACCTATTGTAAATAGTGTCGCAATAACATAGGTGAACAGGTGTTCTTTTGAATCAATGTTTTTGTGTCCTTTGGGTAGATCCCTAGTGGTGGAATTCTGGGTCATATGGTAGCTCCATTTTTAGTAGACTGAAGAACCTCCAGACAGCTTTCCATAGTGGTTGGACTAGTTTGCACTCCCACCAGTAATGTAGGAGAGTTTATTTTTCACCACATCCTTGCCAACATTTGATGTTGCTAGTTTTTTTTTTTTTTTTTAAGATTTATTTATTTATTTTTATACAAGAACCGGGGTACAGGCCAGATGTATGGGAGGGTTAGAGGATTCACCAGAGACAGAGCGGGGAGCAGAACAGGAGGACTGACGAACTACACTGCTGAGGGGAGCAGCGGGCGCGGCAGAAGAGGTTTGCCGTGCCATGTGGGACGCTCCCAGCCGGCTGGGATCGAACTTGCACTGCAGAGGCTGTGGACAGCTCCACAACGCGGTGCTCAACTGCCTGCACCACCAGGGGAGGCCCTGTTGCTAGTTTTTTCAATATTTCTTACTGGTGTAAGGTGGTATGTCAATGTGGTTTTGATTTTGTTGCTATTTTTTAAATTTTATTAATTAAATTTTATTTTATTAAAGATTTATTCATTTATACAAGAACTAGGGTACAGGCCAGAAGCACGGGAGTGTGAGAGAATTCATCAGGCACAGAGCAGGGAGCAGAAAAGGCAGATGGACTGAAAACACTGCTGAGGGGAGCAGTGGGTGAGACGGGGAGGTCCTTTGCATCATGTGGGTATCTCCCTGGCCAGCCGGGAATTGAACCCGTGCTGCAGAGGCTGTGGACAGCTTCACAGCGCTGTGCTTAGCCCACTGTGTCACTGGGGAGGCCATTTGCTAGTTTTTTAATATGTGCCATCCTCACTGGTGTGAGATGGTAACTCATTGTGGTTTTGATTTGCATTTCCCTGATTACAAGTGATGTTGAACATTTTTTCATATGCCAGTGGCCATTTGCATTTCCTCTTTGGAGAAGTGTCTTTTTAGCTCTTCTGCCAATTTTTTGACTAGATTATTTACTTTATGTTGAGTTTCATCAGCTCTTTATACATCTTTGTAATCTGTTCCTTATCATTAGTATTGTGTGCAAAACTTTCCTAGGACTTCCAGTGTTATATTGAAAAGCAGTGGTGAGAGTGGACATCCTTGTCTTGTTCCAGATCTTAATGGAATTGCTTTCAGCTTTTCACCATTGAGAATGATACTGGCTGTTGGCTTGTCATATATGATCTTTGCCTTCACTATCACTGCTTTGGGTGATGTGTCTATAAAGATGTCTTTGTGGTGCATGTCATGTAGTGTTTCGCCTATATTTCCTTCTATATATTTTCCAGTTGTTTAAGGTGGGAAGTAAGGTTTTTCCTTTGAGTTCTTTCTTGTTTCTTGATGTGAGTCTGTGTTGCTCTATAATTTTTTCTTATAACTCCTTTTACTGTGTCCCATATGTTCTGGAGATTTGTGTCTTCATTATCATTCATCTCAAGTTACTTTTATTTCTTCTTTGATCTCCTCATTTATCTTGTAGTCTTCCAACAGTGTGGGTTTCAATCTTCATGATGTAGGGGGGTTCCTTGCCTTCCTCTCATGGTTTATTTCTAATTCGATGGCGTTATGATCAGAGAAGATAGGTGGTATGATTGCAATCTTAGTGTATCTGTTGATGTTGGCTTATATTCCAGTATGTTACCAATGCTGGAGAATGATCCGTGTGCACTTTAGAAAAATGAGTTCTCTGGTTTTTTTGGATACAGCGTCCTATAAATGTTTGTTAAGCCTGTGAGGTCTAGGTTCTTGTTTAGAGCTCTAATGTTCTTGTTTATCTTTTGTCTTACTGATCCATTGGGGAGAGAGGTGTGTTGAAGTCTCCTACACATATGTATTTTCTCTAATGTCTGTTTTCAGGGATGATAATCGTCTGATAGATTTTGGTGCTCTTTCATGTAGTGTGTATATGTTGATGAGTGTTAGGTCTTCATGATGTATTGCCCCCTTACTCATAATGTAGTGACCATGTATGTCTCTTATTTCCTTTTTTAGTTTGAAGTCTATTTTATCTGATATAAGTATAGTTGTTCCTGCCTTCTTTTTTGGTCCATTTGCTTGTAGGATTGTGTTCCATCCCTTTACTTTCAGTCTGTGTTTATCTTTTGTAATGAAATGTATTTCTGTAGATAGCAAAAGGTTGGGTTCTATTTCTTAATCCAGACTCTGACTCTGTGTCTTGTTATTGCTGAGTTTAGTTCATTTACATTTAGAGTTAATATCGATACTTTGGTGTCTGTGTTTGCCATTTGTTTTTTTGTGATTTTACTCCTTGTCTTGTTTTGTTCTTCTTATTCATTCCCCTGTTGGTTTTGGCTTTAGGACTTCATGTAGTAATTTTTTTAGTGGTGGCTTATTTGTAATGAAATTCTGGAGTTTCTTTTTGTCTGAGAAGGTCCTATTCTTTCTTCATAGAGGAAGAAAAGCTTGCAGGATATAATATTATCGGTTGGCATTTTTTGTCTTGGAGTTTGTTGAATATGTCCCTCTACTCTCTTCTTGCTCATAGTGTTTCTTTGGAGAAGTCCAATGTCAGCCCTAATGATTTTCCTTTATATGTTAATCTGTCTTCCCTCTTTTCAGCTTCATTATTTTTTCTTTTTCTTGGATTCTTGCGAGCTTTGCTATTATGTGTCTTGCTGTGTTTTTCTTTTCATCTTGGAAGTTTGGTGGTATTCTTGCTTCTTGTATATCTATTTTCATCTCCTTCTTCATGTTTGGGAAGTTCCCTTTGATTATCTCCTTGAATATTTTCTCCTTCCTATGTCTCTCTCCTCTCCTTCTGGGATTCCTATTCTTTTCCTCATGGACTCAGATAATTCTTGAAGTGTTTCTTTGTTCTTTTTCCTTCATACTTCCCTTTCCTTTTCTGTTTTGGTTCTTTTTATTTCTCTATCTTTTAGAGTACTTACTTATTCTTCCATTTCATCTATTCTGTTTTCATTGCTTTTCCCAGAGTTCTTTAGTTCCTCCATTAATCCTTTAATTTCCTTCGTTTCTTTTACTTCCCTTTTTAGGGACTCAATTTCATTCTTCTGATTGTTGATTATTTTTCTCATATCATTCTTTTCCTTTTCATCTTGTTTTAGTTTTTTAATAATGGCGATTTTAAATTCTCTATCTGGCATTCTGGGAAGCTCCTTCCAGGTCATTGTTGGGTTCTGGTGGTTGGTTTTATTTTTGTGGTGTGGCCTTCTCCTAAGGGCTTGCTTGGTTTCTTGTATTTTTTTCTTCTCCCTGATGTTTGTTTTCTAATTTGTTCTATGCATTGGGACACTGCACTACTGGTGTTGGTGGGCATCATTTTGGAGTGCTCCTTCTGGAATATTGGGAACTGTAGGCAAGCCCTAGTTCAGTCCTGTTACGCCAGTACTCCACAAGGGTAGTGATATTGTCGGTATGTTGGTGGGTGCTGTCTCTGAGTATCCCCTCCCTCTGTGTTTACTCACTTCCCAAAGGGGATTGTGGGGTCTCTGTCTTCCAGCAATGGCGCAGGGGCTGTGGTTTCCTGGTGTGGTGCCTGCAGTTCACTTTGATGGTGGAACCATTACCCCAGTTCAACTGTGTTCCAAAGCACAGGTGGGTGGGCGCAGGAGGCCTGCAGCAGTTTTGCTCAGTGCGCACTTCCCTACTGAGCCCATTTCAGGGCCTCCCTTCTCAGATCCAGTGGGTGGCTGTGTGGTCCCTGGCTTCCCCTGATGGCACAGGGACTGAGCCTTCCTGTTGTCCGAGGTTTGCCTTGATGGCAGAACTGTGCCCCAGTTCAACTTGGTTCCACAGGTCATGTGGGTGGGCACTGGAGGCTTGTAGCAGTTTTGCTCAACTCATACTTCCCTACTGAGCCCATTTTGGGACCTTACCTTTCTCTGATCCTGAGGGTGGTTGTGGGGGTCCCTGGCTTCCCCTGATGGTGCAGGGACCGCGTCTTCCTGGTGTGCAGTTTACCCTGATGGCAGACCCATGCCCCAGTTCAGCTTGGTTCCACAGCTCAGGCAGGTGAGTGCTAGAGACCTGCAGCTGCTTTACACAACTTGTACTTCCCTACTGAGCCTGATGTGGGCCCTCCTCCGAATCTTTGGGTGATTGTGGGCGTCCCTGGCTTCCCCTGATGGTGCAGATGACTGCCAAGATTAGTCATAAAAGGCATCATCGCTTACTCTTGACTTTATTTACTGGATCTCATCCATGGGACCTAGTCATCATTGTGCAAGAAAACTAAGCAACCACACAGAAGGGCCAGTTTACAAACACCACTCATATGCACAGATTCTCTCCTTTTCCATTTTTAATATACATTTTCCACAAACATAAAGATAATTTGAAAGAGTATTGAAGTAAGCATTTATATAACAATCACCTTTTATCGTTAGTAAATGTTTGTGTGTATATGTTGTGGTAGAAACATATGTGAGTTAGTTTCATGCATCATGATATTTCACTCCTAAATTATATCAGCATACATATTCTAAAAGTCAAGCATTGTACTCTTACCATACCTAAGTAAATGAAGAGTCTTAAAATATTGTGTGGTCTATTCCACAATCACATTTCTCCAAATGTCCCCATGTTTACTTGTTCCTTTTTTTTTTTTTTTTTCAAAATAGAATCTAATCAACAGTGGCATCAAAATGTCATGTCTTTAGTCTTTTTTTTTTTTTTTTAAGATTTATTTTATTTTATTTATTTATTTATACAAGCACTGGGTACAGTCAGAAGTGCGGGAGGGTGAGAGAATTCACCAGAGCCAGAGCGGGGAGCAGAGCAGGCAGAAGGACCAAAGTACACAGCTGAGGGGAGCAGTGGGTGGCAGGGGAGGTCTGCGCGCCAAGCGGGACCCTCCTCCGGTGGCCAGGGAGCAGCCAGGGATCAAACCGGCGCTGCAGAGGCTGCGGGCAGCTTCGCAACCCAGCTCTCAACCGCTGCACCACCAGGGGACGCCCATGTCTTTAGTCTTTTAATCTGAAATTAGTTTGCCACTATTCCTTTTTTTCCCATGACATTAATTTTTTTGTAAATAAACCAGAGTACTTCTCTTAGAAGTCATATTCTGTTAGTTTGATTGTTTCCCTGGAAAGTTTTTTAACTTTTCCCTCATCCTTCATATTTCCTCTAAACTGGAAAATTAGGCTTAAAGCTTTCTCATGAAATTCAGGCTAATCTGTTGGGTAATATCAGGAGTAAATAGCATCACCATGCCATTGTTAGTGACCTTAAGCCAGATGGCCTTGTTAAGGTGGTGACTGCCTCATTTCTATTGAATAGTGCATTCATTCTTTGTGTAATTAGCAAGTAACTGATGGAGTGACAGCATCATGTTGGCATCATTTTAGTATCCTGTTGCTTGTTGGGGAACAATCTGTCACCTAATGGTTATTGCATCTGCATGATTCTTTTGTAAGTAGATCTTCAGTATTTTCTCCTGATGTGAATACATCAGTGTAATTGTATTAAAAAATCACTAAACAGGGCCTCCCCGGTAGCGCAGCGGTTGAGCGCTGGGTTGCAAAGCTGCTTGCAGCCTCTGCAGAGCCGGTTCGATCCCCGGCTGCTCCCCGGAGGAGGGTCCCACATGGCGCGCAGACCTCTCCTGCCACCCGCTGCTCCCCTCAGCAGTGTACTTCAGTCCTTCTGTCTGCTCTGCTCCCCGCTCAGCCTCTGGTGAACTCTCTCACCCTCCCGCGCTTCTGACTGTACCCAGTGCTTGTACAAATAAATAAATAAATCTTTAAAAAAAAATCACTAAACATTTACAGAACACTTCAAGCTTAAGAAAGACATAAACCCGGGCCTCCCCGGTGGCGCAGCGGTTGAGTGCTGGGTTGCGAAGCTGCCCGCGGCCTCTGCAGCGCCGGTTCGATCCCCGGCTGTTCCCCGGCCACCAGAGGAGGGTCCCACATGGCGCGCAGACCTCTCCTGCCGCCCGCTGCTCCCCTCAGCAGTGTGCTTCGGTCCTTCTGCCTGCTCTGCTCCCTGCTCTGGCTCTGGTGAATTCTCTCACCCTCCCGCGCTTCTGACTGTACCCAGTGCTTGTATAAATAAATAAAAATAAATCTTAAAAATAAAAAAAAAAAAAAAGGTAAACATTTAAAAAAAAAAAAAAAAAAAAGAAAGACATAAACCCAATAGGGAAAAGAAACTTGTAGGAACTGGAATCAACAAAGGGAGTTAAAAACTTATCAGAGAAGCTATACCTCAAAGCTTCAGTGATGAAAGAATGCATTATGTTCTCAAAATAGAATAAATAAGGACTTTTGGCAAACAAATATTTGAAAGAAAGAAAAAAAACCCACGTCATAAACCAGAGGATAAAATTGAAGCTATTTCCTAAAAATTAGTACAAACAGACATCCAGATAGAAAATGGGAGAATGGGAACATTGAATAAATGAGCAGACTAGAACATCTGTTGTGCAGTGGAGATGAGGGGGAGCTTAGTTAGATCATTTAACCATTTGGAGCCATGTACAGGGTTTTGGGGTGTTTTTTTTTTTTTTTCATCTTTCTTTTTCAGCATGTTAAATTCCTACTCTTACTCCTTAACAATATGAGTGAACCTATTAAACCTTAGATCTTCACACTGGACACCACTAAAAGTAGAATCCCAGACCTGTAAGTTTGCTTGTTTATGAATGTTCTCCACTCACACTTGCCCTCCTTCCTCACCCCCAATTCTCTCTCCCACCCTCAGCCCCAAGTGTACTGTAAATTCTAGGTTTTATAATAACAACCTCTATTTTTTACAAGTTTCTCTATGGTTATGGCTGAAGAGCATCTTGCAATCAGAGGAACTGGTAATTTTTTCTTTTTTTATCACAACTGGTAAGAATCAAATAAAATAAAGAATAAAATAAAAATTATTGTTATCATTATTGTTGTGTATTTTTTTTTCTAGTTTTTAGATGCATTGGAATTATCTCAGAGTCCTATGTTGTTGGAGCTGATGACAGACATTCTTTGTCGGGAACAGCAACATATTATGGAAGAATTATTTCAATCCACTTTCAAAAAGATTGCCAGAAAGTAAGTTATTCTATTCTGGGTTTCTTAAAACTATTCATTTTTTTTTTCTGTGGGAAATTATCTTTTCTGTGTCAAAGGAATTGAGTGGCAGTAGCACTCAACACTTGAAACTAATTTTTTCTTTGAAGTTAAAAAAACCCCTCTTATCATGAATGTTGTAAACTACTCAGAACTAAAGGTAAAACTATAAATGAGTCTCCAGATTGAATAGGTATCAGCATTTCCCCTGCTTCATCAACCCATTTAGTCTTTTTTGCTCTTGTTGTTATTAATTGTAATTGAAAGCAAATACCTGACACCATGTCCTTTTATCTCTACTTCCAAATATATATCAAAAATATTGTATTTTCTTAGCTAAAGTATCACTATTAACTGCCCGAAATAGTAATTCCACATTCAGATTTCACCAGTAATATTGAATGCTCAGATTTCTCCAGTAGACTGTTGGATTATTTTAATTCTGATATAAACCAAAGTCCTCACATGACAATTCTCTGTTGTCTTTTAAGTCTGTCTTCATCTAAACAGTCTCCTCACCTTTATGTTTTCTTGCGTTGTTGAATCCTGGGCACTTAGTTATCCTAGATAGTCTTACATTTTGGATTTATGAGATTTTTACTTCTTTTCATTTAGCTTATTCATCCAACCTGTACATGTAAAATTAAGTATAAAGCATGACTATTTTCAGGGTCAGGCCTGGGCACAATTACTTAGTGGTGGATGCTTTATGCCATATGTTCATACATAGTGTCTGATGGTCCTAGTTTACAGATGCTAAGCTTGAACAGCCATCTTCCTGTAGCCTATTCCTAATGGTTTTAATATCCATTTGTGATTTTACCCCTAGATCAGTTATTTCATAATGATTTACAAATGGTCATTTGAAAAATTCTTTTAAATTTGGTAGCTAGATATATACTGTATCAAAGAATTTGCCCACATTATTAGAGCTCTTTTGTTACATGAATTAGTTTTAGAATTTTAGTAAAATATGGTGGAAAAGGTGGGACAAATTTGATTATTAGTTTTTTTAAAATATTTTTTGAGGTAGTGTTTTAGGAGTATATGTTTTAGGAGTATAGGTTCACATGTCTATAAATATATTGGCACATCACCCCCCCCCACAAAAGTATCCGTAATTTTCCACTGTAGTCCACTGGACGTCCTCCCCAATCTGCTGCTGTCCCTCCTGCCACCTCTAGTCACCTCAGTTCTGCAGTCAAATTTCTAGGGTTGGTTTTGTCACATTTTGTTTATTCGTTAGCTTCGTTTTCTTAAATTCCACATGTGTGAAATCATCTGGTATTTGTATTTCTTCTTCTGGCTTATTTCACTTAGCACAGTCCCCTCCAGTTCCATCCATGTTGTCATAAATTTCAAGTTGCATTTTTTTTCCAGCTGAGTAATAGTCCATTGTGTATATATAGCACATCTTTATTTACTCATCTGTCACTGGGCACATAGATTGATCATTGATTTTTTAAAGTAACTGCTTGATACCATGGCTACTTCTAATTGTGGCCAGTACGTTTTAATTTAATTATTTTTTGGTTTTCATAAAGAAGAGTTTGGAAGGTTCGCTTATTTAATTTAATTTTTATTTTTTATTGAGATAACATTGTTCTACCAAACTGTATGTGATTCAAAGGAATAAGATCACACCTCCTCAGAATGTAGACGAACCAAATAAGGGATTTGGGAAAAAATTATATTTTCTTAGCATCTAGACATTTAGAGTGGGATCAAAACAAGGGTGGGAAGAGCACAAGGGACATGGACGAATTGGTGGTGGGAATTTCACGGGACTATATCCAAGATGAGGAGGCATACATTGTACAAAAATGAAGAATGATGTTAAAAATACGCACACACACACACACGAAAAGATCATACCTCCTTAGATATATGTCAGCATACCACATCTACCATCAAGGCACATTTAGCCTACCACCATAATCCATTGTGTTCTGTCCCCTTTCTATCATGCCCCCTCTTTCTTCCCATATTGTAGCCTCAATTCCACAGTCATATTTATAGGATTTGTTATTGGTTGGTTTTTATTTGCTCCTTTGTTTTGTTTCTCTGTGTTCCACTTATGAGTGAAACTACCACATATTTGTCTTTCTACTTCTGACATTTTATTTTCTGTTTTCCCCTCCAGTTCAGTCCATGTTGTTGTAAATGGCAAGAGTTCATCTCTTTTTATACTTGAGTAGTATTCCATTGTGTATATATGCCACAATTCTCTAATACACTTCTCCTTGGGCACCTGGAATGTTTCCATAACTTGGCTGTTGTAAATAGGACTGCAGTGAACATAAGACCACTAATATCCCTTTGAATTCAGGTTTTGCATTCTTCATTTAGATACCTAAGAGTGTAATTGCTAGATTGTATGGTAGATCTTTTTTTCATATTTTGAAAAACCTCCACATTGTTTTCCGTAGGGAGTAGACTAGTCTACATTGCCACCAACAATTTATTAGTGTTCTTTCACATCTTGCCAACACTTGTTTTCTAGTGTTTTTGACATGAGTCATTCTCAACAGGTGTGAGGTAGTATCTCTAGAGGTTTCGATTTGTGTTACTGTGATGATAAGTGATGATGAGATTTTTTTTCTTGTACCTACTGGCCATCTATATGTCTTCTTTGGAGAAGTGTCTTTTAGCTCTTCTGCCCATTTTTTGATTTTTTTTGTTTCTGTTTTGCTGAGTTGTTTGAGTTCTTTCTATATCTAGGATATCAGCTCTTTGTCAGATCTATGATGTGCAGATAGTCAAAAAGTTTTTTTTTTTGTTTTACATGTAGTATATTGCTTTGAAGCTTTCAGTTTGATGCAGTCCTATTTGTTTACACTTCTGTTTCTCTTGCCCTTCATTTTTATTTTAAGTGAGCATTTGTTATATTGAACATGTAAATAACTCATTTTTAGTTACATATTTTACACTTCATAAAATTGAACTACTTGAAGTATAGAATTAAATATTTTTTAGTAACTTTACTGAGCAGTGCAACTATCATTATAGAATAATTTCATTCTCCTGATAAAATCCTCCCTGAACACTTACAAATTAACAGTTAACTCTTACTGCCAGCCCCAGTCCATCCAGGTCTTTATAAATTTGCCATTTCTGGATGTAGCATGAATCAATAGTTAATTATATTTTCTTAGCATCTAAAAATGCTATAATTAACCAGTGGTAGAACATTTCATATAACAATAGCAGAATACACATTCTCTTTGATTGTACACGGATATTCTTCAGGACAGACCATTTACGAGGCTCTGAAAAATGTCTCAGCTGGGCCTCCCTGGTGGCACAGGGGTTAAAGACAGCACTACACAAGCTATTGCCAGCCACTGTAGCACAATTTCGATCCCCAGCTGGCCAGGGAGCTAACCCACATAGTGCAGTAGACCTCACCTGCCACACCCGCTGCTCCCCTCAGCAGTGCATTTCAGTAGATCTGCCTTTTCTACTCTCCACTCGCAGGTGAATCATCTCACTCCCCGCACCTCTGGCTTACACCTCAATTCTTGTATGCATAAATATTTTTTTTGGGGAAAAAAAAACTCAGTAAATTTAAAAGATTTGAAATTATGCAAAATATATTCTTTGACCACAGTAAAGTTAAATTAGAAATCAATAACGAAAGGCAATTTGTGCAATTCAAAAATATATTTAAATAATCAGGTAATTAGATAACACATTTTTAAGTAACCCTTGGGTTGAAGAAGAAAGGGAAATGAGGGAATTGAAATGGTATTTTGATCTGGATAAAATGATAATAAAGCATATCCAAATGTCTGAGATGCAGTGAAACCTTGCTTAGAGGGAAATGTTTCTTTTAAATGTCTTTATTACTAAATTAAAATGTTTCTAAGTCAGTAATCTAAACTTTTACCTTAAAATCTAGAGAAGGAAAATTAAACTGAAGGAAAGCAGAAGGAAGGGAATACTAAAGATTAGCATGAAAAAAGATACGAGAAAAATGTTAGAGAAAAATTCGTAAAACCAAAAATTGGATTTTTTTAAAAGATAAGTGAGAGTGGCAAGCTCTTAAATAATCCAGGAATGTAAGAAAAGGCACTGTTCATTATAAGTAGGAATAAAATAGACAACATTACCACTGGCTTCTCAGAAATTAAAAAGAGTGTAAGAGAATATTGTTGCAATGTTATACCAACAAATTCAGCAACTTCACTGAAATGGACAAATTCCTATAATGTTACAAGTTATAAAAACTTACTCAAGAGTAAATATCTGACTATCTCTTACACAAATTAATTGAATTATTTAAGATATTACCATACATGGTGGAAGATTATTGGAGCAATGGTGGTAGGGAGGGATGAATGTATACATTTGTAGAGATTTGAAAATGTAACCCCTAGAGCAGTACAAAGATGTAATTTACCTCAATATACATAACTGTGGGAGGGGTAGAAAGGGAATGCCTGTTAAAATAAACAAAAATGTATCTGTTAGAGATCTGAAGTGCAAGGAAAATGTGGCTACAACTGAGGGAAAGATGTGTTTATTTTGTAATATGAGGCTGTTCTTTAATTTGTGTTCCTGAGCTTCTTGCAAAATAGTGATTCATTTATTTAATTGAAAATATTTATTTATATATATTTTACATCTTTTCCATTTTTTTTTTTTACAATGTTTAATGTTGCTTTCTTTTCTCAGGTGTAGTCCCCATCGAATTTCCACCACCACTTCACCTATGCACTATCACCATAATCCCTTGTGCTCTTCCATAATCCCTTGTGCTCTTTCCCTCTTTTTGATCCCTCTGCCTCCCCTGTAGAATATCTCTGGTTTATTGTTGTCTGTTTATTTTCTTGTTATGTTTCTTCTTATTATTTTATTCCCTGATGCCTTATTTGGTTCCCCTATATTCCTCCTATAAGTGAAACCATCCAATAGTTTTAATTTTTTAAAATATTTTTAAAATGCTTTTTTTTATATTTTTTATTTTTATACAATGTATG